TTGCCGTTTTGTCATTTTTATTGGCGATTTGTAAATTTTAAAGGAGGATCCGTAATGAGCCTTTAAAAAGCAGTAAAAATGTGCTTTGTGTCTATTTTTTATTTTGAAAAAGAAAAAAAAATTCAGTAAAAGTCGATGTTATCCCATTGAATGTAAATCAAAAATTGGGTGCACATGTATTGTGATGTGCGTTTAAGTTTCAATGCAAATGGCCTATGTTTTATTGTTGTGCTCTAACGGTGCTTTTTGACGTAAGCGTCTGCTGAATTTCTTTCGTACCACTTCATCTCAACTATTTCGCCACTCACGCTCTGTGACTATATCTCGCAGCTACAAGGTAATTGTGTTTCAATAGCCGATGACAGTAGCTCGCAGTTCGATTGCGACCACATGATATATTGTTAGCGAAGTATTGTGTTTGTAAAGAGAATAATGACATTTTGAAGACTTTATTATTTGTATAAAAATTTGACTAAAATAATTGGAAAAGCATTGGAATAAAAGCTGTAAAATTGTAGCGGAAAAAAGTAAAAACAAAATTGTGAAATGAACGTAAAGGGTAAGATTGAATAATAAAGTGCATCATGCAAATGTCCACTGAAAAATGTCGTGTTTGTGTGATTGAAAGTATGGATAGGAGATGTTTGCATCTAATAAGCAAAAAAACCAACTTTATTTCATAACTTTAATTAAATTATTTCACAATTCCCCGAATGAAGCGCCAAAACCATGTTCTGTTTGAAATCAAACTATCTGTCACATTGGCGCCCATTCATTGACAATGTAACAATAATATTTTGGATTATCACTCTCTAAATAGTTGCTTGCTTTGTCATCTTTTGCTCTTGCAAATTAAAAATATTGTCAGAATTTCTTAGACCGCTCCATAATATAAATCGTTACGAAATTCTTTCATAATTTGCATCGCATTGAAACGTCAAACATTCTTTTGACAATCTATATTGTTTCAGATCCAGATCAAAGTAATACCGAATGGGAAAAGTGTGTGCGTCATGTGGTAGATAAATTTCAGAGAGAAACAGCAGCAACGTTTATGCAATTTTGCCGGAAGTGTGTTCAATCTGGATTCAGCATCGATGGCGATGCGTTCATCAAGTTGATTATGGATAGGTAAAGGTTAATTTTCGATTGAAAATTCTAATCTCAACACAAGTTGTTGTGTTCTAAATTGATCGAAATTCATTGACATTTCAGTTTGGGCCAGACATTTGATCGATTCCATGCAAACTTTGAAATGGACAAAGACCAGGGGGGTAATGAAACTTTGAACGAAAACTACGAAAAAGAACTGGCTGAATTTACTGAAGCCGCAAAGAAGTTGATCAAGGAAAAAATGGTGCCCAAAGAAATGCAGAACAGCAAAAAAATGAAGAATAAACAACAAATCATTGACTTATTGCAACGATGTACGTCCGATGTATTCGGCAAAGATGGTGGCGGAAAGCCAGTCATCGATGTGAATGTTACAAATATAAAGAATGATAACAATGACGATGAGTCGTCGCTCGTTGTTAGTGTGGAAATGTCATCGAAGAGTGCATCATGCACGAAGACTGGACCAACAAAACTTTCTCGCCGCGCGGCCAAAAAATGTGCCAAGAAATCTCAGATGACAATTACGGCAGTGCTTGAGCAATCGCCGGCCGGCATGAGCCAACAGGTGACAATAACCAAGGATAAATCTGGGTCACTCTCGATTAGTGGCGTATCAATGAAGAAAAGTGACAAAACTCCAATGGACAATGGAAGTAGTACAAAAGTAAAATCGGCCCAAAATCGAAACACAACTGAAAATTCGTCAAAAATGATGACAGAAGGTAACGTTGATTTGTACAATGAATAAATTATCGAAACAACTAATTATATTTCTCTTTGTCTCAAAGAATGTCAACCGAAGAACTCCGAACAAATCACCGAGACAATCAAGTACCGTTGCGCACATTGCCACGATGTAAACCATTGGATTGAATCGTTCAACGCCCCCAAAGACGTTTATTCACATTGGTTATCATATCATACAGAACCAGCAAAGCCGTTCCAGTATTTTGTGATTGAGTACGCCGCCTGCTATCATTGCAATGGCAAAACAATTGCAACCTACCACGAATTGATCAAACATCACAAGGAGTGTCATCGTGCTGAGCCATTTGTCATCGTTAATCAAAATGATTACAAGAAATGCGCACTGTGTCCATATTATGGTTCGGGCATCATTGCTCACTTTCATACTATGCATAGAGTGGTGTTGAAAACACTGTCTCTTCGCAAACTCCGCAGTTTCTACACTCCCCATCAGTTGGGCGGCACAGTATTGGAAAAACATCTCGAGAGTAAAGTGCACAAGAAGCAAAAATGTGGCAATTGTAACATAGTCTATGAAACGGAACGTGATCTACGAGACCACCACAGCAAATGTCACAAAACAACCAAAATGACTGTTAAGGAATTTTACGATAATCACAGTCATCTAGTGTGCGGTGTCTGCCATTTAAAAGTTGATCGGAATTTGTATTTGGGCCATATCGAAAATCATGTGTTCAATTTCAAATGTCATCGTTGCGATTTCACCACAATTGACATGATAGAGCTCGTCAAACATGACAACACACACGGTTTGATCGACAGCTTCGAATATCGATGCATTCAGTTTAAGAATCGCTTGAAACGAGATTATCTCAAGACTTTAGTCGTTTTTGGGAATGGCTTGATGCTCACAAAGCGAAATATGTTGAATACAAAGTACGACGATAGCAAGCAATTTGACTCATTCATCGATTCTTTGCTGAAAATTAAAAAGGAACGACACAGCCAACGTGATCTGAAATAAAAAAAAAAAAACAATGCATCAGGCTTTCAATACCAAACTTGATCCAATCTCATTTATCAATAAAACAAAAATTAATTTTAGCTCCGAAATAAGCGCAAATTTGAAGTGCACCAAATTCCCATTGGAATATTTTCATTTTGAAGCCTATTTTCCTTGATTGTTTGTACTGATACTTTTCAAAATGAAAAAAAATAAACACAAATGGATTTAATAATTGTCCTAATCATGATTTTCAATTGTTGTTTTTTTTTAAATAATCTTCTGTCATTAGATTTATTGATATCAAAGCGTAAATCAGATTCAAGTTGATATCATCAACTAATTGTTGACCAAAGTGCAATGACATTTGCGAAGACGTTAATACAGACATCAAAAGCATCGGCAATTATGAGTGTGCAAGAATCATAAGTTTTTCATATACAAAACCTAACCACACAAAAGAATCTTTTCACTCATCTTCTGTTGTGCATGCGTCGGAAACTACTTGTGTCATGTTATATGCGCCAATACATTTACATTCGTAGACATAGTTGACAGATACTGCCATATCAATCATTTGTATTCAAACCCTTGTGTAGCGGCTTAACCATATTTACACTGTGTCAAATAATTACAATAAAATTAATTCCGCAGAATAAAGAAATAAAGTGCGAGCAAAAAATCTAATTTCCACTTGATCCCGTGTCTTCAGTTCACGTTTTGAATAAGCAAAGGTTTAAAATGTATGTGAAAATTGTGGAAATATTGTGCATAAAACATCAAGTGAAATATCATATGCAAAATCAGAGTCACACATACATAAAATGGCTTCCGATGCCACAGTCAAATGCTAAACATTATGCTCATTAATAAAGTTATATTTATTTCATGAAATACACTTTTTTCGTCATTTTTGTGCAATTTTCATTTTATTTTCAATTATCAATTTGCTTTTTTATGGAACACAATTTCAATTCATTCGCAGAAATAAAAAAAAAATGAAGGCTTGGAAAGTGGAGCTGAATGATTTGCTGGAGAAAATTGAGCGGCACACATCAGCTTCGCTGTGGCGCATCAAAAAGGAGTTTGAGCGATCTGGTTCATCGTTTGATAGGAAGTTCAGAAAACGATTTTTACGACTGACAAACAATCGGTAGGACAATTGTGGCATATTTTCATCCAATCGAATGCATATATTGAATCAAGCAAACAACTTTTTTTAGGTTAAGTGAAGTGTACGACCGAATTGAGATTGAGTCGTTGGCCACGGAAGGTCATCGAAGTAATCAAGGTAAATGATAGAAGATGAAATTTTTTAATGATGTTATTTTTTTATTTTGTTGCATTGAATTGATAAACGTAGGACAAGTACATTACCGCAATGACAGTGAACGACCCGGAATACGGTTACGTGGTACTCGTGAACCGTCCGAGGAACTAGAGAAAAATTTCAAACAGAAAATGGTTCGGAATGAGACGAAAAAACTATCAACACATTCGAAAAAGTCCAAGCACATAACAGCACAACGGCCAGTTGACATTAGCCGACGCCTTGGAAAAAAACATCACAAAAGTGATATCGATGAGTTGCCAAATGGTATATTTCCCATCGAAAATATAAAAAAAGAGGCGACTGGAAGCAGTTCGAATCCCTTTCGTTCTAGACGTACATCAGAGTCCACGGTGAGCCAACCGCCTGATGGAAACGATTCTTTTTCACACGTCAAAATAAAAGTTGAGAATCCAAGTCCGACATCATCTCAATCAACTCATGATGGATGTACGCTGAAAAGAAAACATGACACGAACAGTGAAGGCAACAGCGATAACAATGAGGGAGATACCAAAAAACGGAAAATAAACAAAGACGATAATAATTTGGGTATTAAAATTTTATTTTGTACTATGTGTAAGACAAACAATAAAAATGTTCATTTCTTGCTTTATTGCCCAGGTAAAGAAGAGGAAACTTCATCTTTGGAAGATATGGAATTCTATTGTGTTCACTGTTCGGATTCAAACGATGCCAACGAATCGAATAGCGGAACAATTGAAGATGTTTATGGTCATTGGCTTTCAGGCCATACCGATTTGAAAAATGTGAAACCATTTTGGTTTTATGTTACCGGCACGTTGGCTTGTTTCTATTGTAATTTCGTTTGCAATTATCAAGAAATGGTTAAGCATCACCAGGATAATCACACAGACGAGCCATTTGCAGTCGTTACACAAGCTGACCGTAAGAAATGTGGCTTATGTCAATACCACGGCGATGAAATAGTTGCTCACTTTGCAGCTGAACATGATGGATTATTTCAATCAACACTATTCAATCCGGCTCGTTTATCGGTTGGTATTTTGGGAAAACTGTTTGCTATTGACATTCACAAGAAACGACAATGCGGTCGTTGCGACATCATTTTGGAGACACAACATGAAATGGAAGTGCATCAAACGGCAGAACATAACGGTGAAACGATCTCTAGCGAATATTTTGATGGTCAAAGCGCGTATGTATGATGCATATTTATTTTTTCAACCATTGAGACTTGAGACTATTTCTTTTGTTTCATTTTTTCTGCTCTAGATATGTCATTTGCGATCATTGTTCATGCAAAGTTGATGGCACGAAATTTTTCCACCACATTGAAAGTCATCGGTACAACTTTCCGTGCTCAAAATGCGATTTCAAAACGAAAAACTTGATCGATTTGGTGGTTCATGAAAAGGATGAGCATCGCACAAACTCATTGAACTATCACTGCTTCGAATTTTCGGAACGATTAAAGAAGCAATTCTTCAACTCGAAGGTACGGAACCTTTTCTGATTTAATTTTTGGCATTAATGCTCCCTAATACCTATATCAACATATATGGTCCAACTAATATCCACAGGTCGTCTTCGGAAATGGACTCGTGCTCACGAATTACAATTTCAAGAACACAATCTACGATGACAGCGAACAATTTGACACATTCATTGCATCTCTAATCGAAAAGATGAAGCGAAAATTCAACCGAATCATGGAGAAGAGACAGGTCAAAGAGCCGGACAGCCGTGCTACATCTCGTGCGGCATCTGTGATATCAAATACATCCGACAGAGTGGATCAAGTACGTTCTCTATCCGTCGACTCACATCGCAATCCATTCCGAGTTTCATCGATGCCATCACTTATGACCGAACTCGAGCAACAGAATCAGCTGGACAACAATCTTTCTGTGCTTGGATTCCCTCGTTTGAGAAATGAAGACTTGACAGAAATGTTCTTGAAATTATGCAAACAGCTGAAGGTAAATGTATCACATCGTGATATCGTTCGTATCTATCGTACGAATGGTGTTATTGAGCAGGTGATTGTTAAATTTCGGAACTTCGAAACCAAGGTAATGGTGAAAAATAGCGCGCATACAAGAGATGTGTGGACAAACGATTTGTTCAAATTGCCACCAAATGAAAAGCCGACAAAAATTTTCATCAATTTGCATACGACACGTTTCTACGGCAAAATGGTGAGTATCGCAAGGGAAGCACGAAAAAATAACAACATCTATTCGTACTACTTGTGTAAGCGTGGTTTGATTGTCAAACGCACTGAAAACAGCAAGGAACGTGTCATTTTGTCAAACAACGAACTGATGGACTTCATTTATGGGGAGAAAAAGAGCAAATCATCTGCTCAGAAACGCAGCCATCAAACGAGTCGACAGACAAATTGAAAAAAAAAATTCAATGGTTTTTTACGGGTCGAGTATTATTTCCAAATGTTGGATATTATCGGCCACAATGAATTAGTTTCAAAAACTGATCAGAATTAACCACTAATGTAAATTTTTCGCTAGCCGTTAAATTATTTGAAATGAAATTATTACATGTTTTGTTATACAAACGAAATTCAATTCAATTTTGAACCAATTCTCTGCGAAAATATGTTTTTACATAGTAAAATAACATTAAAGCGTATCATTCGAGAAAAAAAAGTAAAACTAAAACTTATAGGATTCATGGTATTTGCCTTAGCTTATTATAAATTGTGGCCAATGATACGTTAAAAACTTTTTTCTACATCTCGATCTATGTTAAGGACCTTCAAAAGAGCATTGATAGCGTACAATTCATAAGCTCAATTCGTTATTTACCTAATTTTCTAACATATACATACATTTAAAATGTAGCCAAAAAAAACAAAAAATTATTTCTAACAATGCTATCCAAGTGGATGAACAATGTTCAATATATATTTGAATCTGTTTTAAATTATATTTATTTCATTTATTATGCGCTTATAGTCGGCAATTTTTGAAGAAAAAAAATTCTTCTGATTAACATAAAAAATGACGCCTATTGTTAGGAATTGCAATTAAATGAAATAACAGTGAATTTATTCGATAAATTGGCGACATAAATTGTTAACATTGAATTAAAAATAAATCATATATTTTAGGTGTTTCACGAAATAAACAGTGAAACTAATGTTTTCTTTGTTAATAGTGTTGAAACGAGAAAATAAACAAAAGCCAATTTCCATTTTTTACAATAACAAAAAATTGTTTGACTTGACTGTTTGGAACAAGAAAAATACAAACATGGTATTTCAGTTTTTATATTACACATTATCCTGTCTACCTTATCAACATCCTTCTCTAACTACCTGAATAGTAACCTCTTCTAAATGAGTCTTCTGCAGACAATTCTGTTACTATGTGTAACATTTTGAAATCCCATCATTTGCAATGTGAAAACGTCATACGGGCTCTATGAACCATAAAAAATGCTAAATTCAACGTTAAAAACCAACAAATGTGAAAATGAAGCAATTAGGGTCATGTGTGCATGTTTTATGCACATTCGTTAGTTTGAACTCATGGACTTTGCTTCTTAAAAAAATAAATAAATAAATGGAAGAAGTTTGCGATAAGAATTTCCGAATTTATTTGCATTTGGTCATTTAGTGTTGAATTCCATTGCACCAAACATTTTCGGTGCGAAGAAGTAATGCGCATATGTGATCGTAATTTCATAATTTTTCCGTTCAGTTTGAAACTCATAAGACATTGCTGCTTCATCGTTCAGGCATTTTTATTATTTAGGTCCGTGTATGTAGATTATTTTTGCCGTTTGAGATATTATTCCTATCCAAACTCAAAAACTGTTACTCATCTAAAATCATACTGGCTGTTTGGCTGTTTACGGATAAATCTTCAACGAATTGTAATATGTGTTGTTCTCCAAAGGAATAATAATAGTCACATTTGAAATAGGTTCCGAAGAAACGTAAAAGAGATAACAAAGCAAGAAAAATCGAAAATCTCGAAAAAATACCATATGTGCATTCACACACACTGTACGTGTACACTGTACATACACATGTGTAATGCGTTGCCGGTAATGTACAATTGTACATGGAGATTTACAAATCCGCATATTCTTTATCTAGGTAAAGCCGCTGCTATGTATTTCAATTCCCTAGCAGCAGGTATGAACGAGACAAATATATAAGCTTCACTTGCTGACTCTCTTTAGCCTGCTTTACTGCGAACACATATTCGCATATGAACGTATCCACACACGAACACACATCGACAAGGCGTACATATTTTGCCACTCATTATTACTTACACCATAGAGCTCACATTGTGACTTCAGTTGTGAGTTGTCTGTCAGAGAGTTTAGTCGTGAACAACTTTTCACGATGGCTCAGAAAAAAAGAAATTAAAAAATTATCATTGCTTAGAAGAATATTTTTGCAATTCTTTCGTTACTTTATTTAGTTTTCTTTTGTGGTGACTGTTTTTACGTTAAAAAAAAAGAAAAGAATAATTGAAGATACATTGAATTAATAAGGCGTAATAATGCAAGAGGTATGTAGAGAACTTTTTTTTCCATTTTTAGCTTGACTATTGTGAATATTCACTTGAAAAAAATTTACTTTTTACGTTTGTTGTAAAACTGTCTGATATTTTTATAGACGAAATATTTTTTGAGTGGCTAGAAAATACATGGTTTAATGTTCAAATTTTGTTCAAGAAATGTGAATCTACGTTTTTTATCTTCTTTTTTTCAACACAATGTGTTCAACACATGTGTAACTTTTTCTACGAAATTGAACGCAAAGAACGCTTGTATTTTTTCTCGAAAATCTCGAAATATTAAAATTGCCATGTGTTGATTATTCCATGATCACTCATATCGACCGTTAAAATCTCGATCGAATTCTCCCAAGCAAATTTTAAAAGAAAATCTAAAAATGGAAAAATTAACAATTTATTGACTTGAATTATCGAAAAATGGAGCATAAATTTTGGAATGGTGGAACATAGTTTAAACGACACGGTGAAAATGAGAAATAGACTTATAAAAAAAAATAACTACCACAGACAGAAAACTTTGAGCAAGAGAAACAAAATAAATTTACGAGCAAAAGTGACACAATTCAGCGTTGAGCGGATAATACGTTTTATGGGTTTTTCTCGTTACTATAAAAAGAAAACGATTGGATGTCTTTGGCATTGTTGGAGAACAACGTTGTATGTGTCATTGCTGTCCAATTTGTTTTAGCCACGAGATCGAACCAATGGTCACCAATGGTCATGTTTTTTGAATGAATAAAAAAAAATACAGCAAATACCAATTAAAAATTATTTATTTCCAATAATCAATGGGATGGGTAGCATTCTCTACTTTCTATGAATTTATTCAACTCGGGTGCCGAAATGTTGTTGTGATAATGTATTACGGCGTGTGAAACTAGAAAATGAAGCTTCAAAAATGTATGTGGAACCGAACAAACAACGGAATTTTGTACAGAATCTCTGAGTACTGAACAAATTGTAAACAGATAACAAACGTCTATCACTCGTTTCATTTGGCAAACCAATTTCTTCGTTTATCTACGAAATATTTATCAAATTCCAAGTGAGTTCAAAACGGTACAAAGGTATCGAGAAGATGTGATAATACCGCATCAATGTTATAACATTGTTTGTATATATACAAACAAGGTTCAAAAATTGACAAAAATTAATCAAACGAAACAAACATGCATGTGATAAATTTCGCTATGAATAAGGATAATCTGAGAGCATTATGAGAATTTTTCAAATTTTTACTTTAAAAAAATAACGTAGTGACGAAAATTCAATATTATTGATTCTATATTGTCATTGCCACTGTTATTGCTCTTTCTGCCGTTTTCGTTTTGCAAATGAAGAATTTTCAGAGCTGATATCAGCTGCTGACGAGCATGCGTTGCGTTATTGTAACGCATCCACAGTACAAAATTCATATTGCCCTCTAGATTTGCCAAGTCAAAATTGAAGCTGATCCTCAAATTTGACTTGGCAAATCTAGAGAGCAATATGAATTTTGTACTGTGGATGCGTTACAATAACGCAACGCATACTCGTCAGCAGCTGACGTCAGTTAGTGCTGCTGACATTAGCTCATAACACGCTCTGAGAATTTTCAAACGGAATGTATTCCGTGACTCGTGGCCACTATTTTTCTTCGCGTGGTCACAAGTGGCCAACTGGTCAATAGTTTGGACAGCACTACTAATGACTGGTAAAAAGTTGTTGTTTTTTACAAAAGTACTAAAGACAATTGACGCTCGTCTTGTATTATCTTCGTGAAAAAACGTAAGAAAAACATCCGAATAAGCGGTGAACGAAGTCTGTTGCTCTTCAGTTGTTCACGCATGAACGTTCATGCTTTGCAGTGAACGCATCGCTAAGCGGTAGTGAGAAGCAACATACCTCGTTCACCGCAAAGCGAGCGCATCACATTTATCGCATAAATCTATCGCATGAATTTATTCAGCGTGATGGATTTGGCGCATAACAAAGCCTGCGAATAACCCTAGTCTAGTGAAGTTTTTCAAACATGAAGATGAAAACCATACAAAAACGATTTGTTCGAAAAAATTATTCAACGATATTTCAGTTTTTTTTCTTTCAAAATCTCAATACATACACATGTTTATATGTTTTATATATTTTTCACTAACTTTTCTTCCTCTTTATTTACAGTGTCTGCGATCACAGATTTGGGGATGGATGCTTTTGTTACCGCCGAAGTTTGCCCGATGCGTGAGTGGAAAAATGTAAAACAGTCACTTTTTTTCAAAATTAAAAATTTAATTATTTTCTATTATTTCGTCACTGAATGACAGCTCACACTCGCAACCCCTCTTTAAAAAATCCTTTTTTTGAATTAAAAGTATTCAATCCGAAAATATATTCACTCTAAATCTTCTAATTCGTTAAGTTGAACAAAACCATAAAAAATTACTCTCATTCATCCAACCTAAACTTATTGCACAAATGACATTCGTAACGACGTCCTTTGCAACTTTTTTTTACTGCTTTGATGGGATTTAATTGTAGACTTCAGGTGTGATGATGATATACGTTTTCGCTTTCAGTGCAGTATAACACACTGGAATGTTCATTTGCTTTGTTTTTTTTCGCACTTTATTCGTATTACACATATACTGCACTGTTCTTCCTCTTGATTTTTTTTTAAATGTTCAACTCGTTGCTATTATTCGATTAATTTTTATCGATTATCTTATTATCGTCGACTGTTTTTGACTATTAGCTGTAGTTTTTTTTTCACTATTTCACTATGTTTTTATGTGGCTCTTAGTGTCGGCTCGCTAATATAGAATAATTGGGAGGCTATTTAATGTAATTGGATACTACCTTATGTACCGTTAGCGGCAGGTCCGCTGAAAGGAGTAAATGATATGAACGTGTGCACGGTTTGAGTACTGCTTTAAGACTGAGTTCTTTATTGAAGTATAAGCATAATCGGCATATATGTGCCGTTACAATATTGAAAATATGAATACTCAAATTTTAATGAAGGAAAAGGCGAAAATTCAAACACACTCCAAAAATGGAATGATCGAATAACATAGAGTCCTATACTGCAAGAATAGTACAACTATTCTTGCAGTCATGATACTTCGTAGAACATTCAATCAGTTACACAAATTTTGTAAAATTTTACTTAGAGCTATCAATCTAAATCTGCTGCTATTGATCTTGGCCACTATTTCACTTCAAGTTTGATGAAAGCAGCAATGAAACTACACAAGAAACAAGGAGAGAAAAAAACACAAACAGATTAGAACTACACACACATAATCCACCACGAAAAAATTGATTGAATTTTAATAACACTCACTCACACAATATGTATTTGCGAATTTTGCAACAACACGATTGATTGATCAAAGGATACAGCTAAACTTCCCACTCTGCATTTTTTTAATTCTGCAGCTGGTACTCCCTGTTGCAACCAGAAGACATCACCATTCGAGACATTTTACTGTGGAAGGTGATCTATGTACTTCTTTACTTGGTCGCAACCAGTCGTTGTATGACTTTGTGCTGTAACAACATTCCCTTATATACCCACGTTGATCATTAATCAATCGATTGCTGCTATCTTCGTGCACTTTTCC